AAATCTGGAGGACACCAACCTGGCCAACTGACTGAAAGAGGTCTATATTTGTTCCCATTCCAAAGAAAGGTGACCTGATAGAGCGTGGAAATTAACTAATATGATTAATATCACATGCAAGCAAGATTCTGCTGAAAATTATCCAAAAACAACAGGAATAACATATCAACAGAGAACTTCCAGAGTGGCTCAGGCTGGGTTTAGAAGAAGCTGTGGTACTAGGAATATTGTAGTTAGTGTTAGATGGATCTTGGCTGAAAGAAGAGAGTACCAGGACAATGTTTATCTGTGTTTCTTTCATTGACTATTGCAAAGGCTTTTGACTGTGTAGATCACAACAAACTACGGTTAACTCTGAGAAGAATGGGGATCTTAGAATATTTGATTGTGGTTATGAAAGTCCTATCCTTGGACAAGAAGGCAGCCATTAGGACAGAGCAAGGAAACACTGTATGGTTCAAAATCAGAAAAGGTATATCCTAGGAATTTGTCCTATCTCCATAAATTTTCAACTTATATGCAGAATAGATCATCTAGGAGGCTGAGCTCTATAGGGAGGAATGTGGCATGAAGACTGGAGTAAAACTCATCAATGACCTGCATTATGCAGATGACACAACCCTGCTTGTTGAAACTGAGGAAGAGATGAAGTATTCGCTGCAGAAAGTCAAGGACTGGAGTCTTCAATATGGACTGAACCTCAACATCAAGAAAACAAAGATTCTCACCAATGGGCAGATTGGCAGAGTTAGATAGATTGTAAAGAGACTGAGATTGTTAACAGCTTTAGTTTGCTTGGCTTCACAATCAACACTCTTGGTACCAGCTGCTAGGAAATCAAAAGATGAACTGCATTGGGAAAATCTGCTGTCAGGAAACTCTCCAGAGTACTGACGAGCAACAATGTCAGTCTTGAGACTAAGGTGCTCCTCATGCAAGTCATAGTCTTTGCAATTACTTGCTCTGCATCAGGAAGCTGGACAATGACTAGGGATAGAAAGAGAGTTGATGCCTTTGAGGTGTGATGCTGGAGAAGAGTATTGAATATACCATGGACTGCAAGGAGAACAAACAGGAGAGGGTGAAACCACAGTGCTCCTTGGAGACAAGGATTCTGATGCTTTGTCTGACATACTTTGGGCACATTTCAAGGAGAGATCAGTCCTTGGAGAGGGACGTCATGCTTGGGAGGGTGGAGAGACAGCACAAGAGAGGAAGAACCTCCATGAGAGGGATTGATTCAGTGACTGGAGTAGTGAGGGCAGGTGTGTCAGAGACAATAAGGGTGACACAGGATAGAGCAAATTTCAGGGTTATTGTACATAGGGTTGCTATGTGTCACAAGCAACTTGATGGCATGTAACAGCAAGTTCCTGTGGCCTACTTATAAGGAGCTGCACTGCCAACCTGAAGGCACATGGTTTGAATTCACCAGCTGCTTCATGGGAGAAAGATGGCAATCAGTGCTGACTCGACACAGACAACAATTCTGAGGCCAGGTGAGTTCTAGTGGTACAGTCCACAGGGAATGGTGCTGCTAACCCAAAGTCCATGTCTCTGGAAGTTTGAAACCATCAGCAACCACAACAGAGAAAGATGGACATTCTCTTCCCATGCAATTTATTGTTGTTCTTGTTGTTATGTGCAGTCCAGTTACCTGTGACTCATGAAAACCCTATGTACAACAGCCCTAAACCGTGCTCTGTCATGTTCCAATCGCACTGCCTCCAATACACCTACCCCAATTACACCAGTTACTGATTCCCTCCACCTTATAGAAGGTCTTCCTCTCTTGAGCTGTCCCTCTACCCTCCCAAGCTTAATGTCCCTCTCCAAAGATTGGTTCCTCCTTGCAACATGTCAAAAAAACATACAGGAGGGCATTGAAAAACAAGGAACTCAAGCAATATTATTCAAAATGGGTGACCCTGAAGGACATTATGCTAAGTGAAATATCTCAGTCACAAAAGGACAAATACTGCATAGTGCCACTGTTGTAGAACGGGACTGACATCAGGGTTTGGGGGAGATTGAGAAAAATTGCATGAATTATGTATACTGCATTGAAACAGATGAGGGAGAACAGTTTAAAAGCGATGTATGATTGGCTATTATGGTTATGACATGAGTCCAGAATGAAGGTTGCATAGTGGAGTGTACTAGGGGTGGGGGAATTGTATACCAATGAAAGAATTTTTCTTTTACTTTTCAAAGAGAAGAGCGAACTGGGATGGGGGGTAGGCAAGGAGAAAAATGCAACAATGAATGAGTGGAAATCCAAAATCTCTATAAATGTTCATTAAAATTAATAAAATAAAATCAAAAAACAGAAAAATTTATTTCTAGCTACTACATAAATATAGCTGCAAAAGTCTTGGAAAATTCAGAAATCAGTGTGTGTGTGTGTGTGTGTGTGTGTGTGTGTGTGTTTTAGAGAATCTAAAAATTGCCTAATCATATAATCCAGAGACAACTATTCCTAATATTTTATAATCTTATGCCATTTTTATGTGTATATAAATAGATGTATTTTCATTTTTAAACAGACCTTATAGTGCTAAGTTTTATAATGTGTTTTTTTCCATTTAACAATGCATGATGATCATTATTTTGTATTGATAAATATGATTCTATGACACACATTTTATTGGTTGTGGGTGGTGACTGTTTAATTATATCATAATTTACTCAATCCCTAAAAAAAAAAAAAATATGCAGGAGGGTCAGCTATGAGTCAGTTTGACTCCACAGCAATGAGAAAGAATGAATTCTGAGGCCAGAAGTCTGAAACCAAGGTATCAGTAGAGCTTCATTTCCTTTGGAGTCATTAAGAGGTAATTTGTTCCTTTATTATTATTATTATTATTATTTTAATGAAACTTTACAGAGATTTTGGATTTCCATTCATTTATTGTTGCACTTTTCTCCCTGTCAACTCCTCCCCTCCAGTTCATTCTTCTCTTTGAAAAGTAAAAGAAAAATTCTTTCATTGATATACAATCCTGCCCCCCAAGTCCATCCCACTATGTAGCCTTCATTCTGGAATCCTGTCATGACTGAGAAAGATGGGATAAATTATGCATACTGCATTGAAACAGATGAGAGAGAGAACTGTTTAAAGGGATATAGGATTAGGTATTATTGTAATTTGTTCCTTGTCTTTCCAGCTTCTGATTGTTGTTGTCTTTCTTGGAGATGTTGGTTGCATCACTCTACATTCTCTCTCTTTGGTCTTATTTTCTTCTCCTCTTTGCTGTATTCTCACTTTGGCTGTTTTGTTGTGTGTGCCATTAAGTAAATTTTGACTCAGTGATCATATAAGACATAGTATATGCTTCCTCTACTATGGAAGGATACTCAAGTCTGTCAGAGATTGTAAGGCTGGACCATTACAGGACAGGGTTGCGATCTGTTGTTCGTAATGTTGCTATGAGTCTTACTCTGCTCAACAGCAACTAACAACAGAGGTTTTCTAGGCTGATAATGCAAGCTTTTTGTTTTAAACTGAGTGTTAATATTTCTTTTATGATTTGTGTATATCCTGTCTTGCCTAAGAAGCACACCATCCGACCCCCAGTGTGTATGAAAACATTGTTCCGTGCTTTCTAGTTATGTTTGGATAACTTTGCTTTTTATCTTTACTTCGTGAATCTGTCTAGATGGCCAATGAGCATTTAGCAATTCTGTTTACTGTTCTCAAAATTATCTCCAGTATTGGCTATAACCCAAACACCAAATCCCCTGCAATTGGGTGTGTTCTGTATCATAGTGATCCTCCATCGGGATTCTGAGATTGCCAAACTTGCTGGGAGGATATTGCCATCTTCTCTATTGGAACAGCTGGTGGATTCAACTGCCAACATTCTATATAATGTGACCAAGTCGTGTCTCACAGCTTTACTAATAGAACAAAACTTGTCTACACTTGTATCCTTTTCTGGGTTCCCATAAGCTGGACCTAATTTATCAAAGGAGACTGCTGACCCAGCCCTCATTCACACTCTTGGGGGATCACAATGTGGCATGGTTGTTCAGAATTTAAACATGGAATCATCTCATCCAGTGACACATCTACCAACTACAACCCATGAGGTGGGGAACTGGTTGCTTAGCTTCCTTCAACTCTTGGTTCTCTGCTTTTTCTATGGAAATTACTATGATTTCATTGCTTTTATAAATATAAAATTGGTGCTCTGTGAAGTTCATTTTGGACAGTACCCTACAGACAGAAAGTGCTTCATGGCCCATTTTAGTTGGCAGAATCTCAATTAAAAGGGTAATTTAGAAGTTGTTTCTTTCTCTGTGTTAGTTGCTGGAGTTAATACTGCACATTTACACATCTAAGTCCCTTAATGTCTTTCCTCCTTGCCCACACTGCTCTTGCTCAATGAGCCAGGCTTGTTCCTGATTCATTGCTGCTACAGTTGACTTCCACAGCCCCGAGGTGAGCATCGCTTCTTCTCGTGTAAGATCCTTACTTGGCTGCCCCCGAGTGCAGGAAATGTACAGACTCCTGCCAAGGAATCTGAGGCCACAAACAAGACCTCACGCCTCTCCTTCTAACCAGAAGACCTCCCTTTTTACTTCTCATGCTTCAGGTAGCCTGAGTAAACTCCTGCCAATATTCAAGGCTCTTTCTGGGGCTCATTTCCCATTCACAAGAGCTGTCATCCCCTCCAGAACTGCACATAGATCTGCCTTTTCATGCCTAGGGAAGAAGTTTGTCTGATCACAACACTGGATGGAATTGATAGATAATCATTGTGTACATTAATTATTTACTCATTATCTCATTCTCCTACTCAGCTTTATTTGGCCCCAGGAATGTAATCTCATCTTTTGACACCTCTACTACCTGGTAGTTGGTCTTCCCCTTTCCTCTTTTCATAACTCCAGGGCCCAACGCCTGTCAGAGGCTCAAAGAATGTCTGATGATTGTCTTTGAGGGTCCAGGTAGTATACGACTCCCCTGGGATGACCATGTGACCTGTTCCTTCCAGGTGAATGCTGTAATCCAGAGCTCTTCAGCAATGGAGTGGGAGCCTATGATGACTGCAGGGAAAAGTCTTTGGCCCAAGAAATCACTGATGAGCAGAAAAAGGTCAAGGAAGCTGATCTAGTGATATTTCAGGTTCGTGTCCCCTCTCATCTTTGTATTGAATTAGAGTTCACCTGTGTATAAACTGGTCCCAAATAATGTATTTGGTGCCCCTCAACATGTGCTGAGGTTTAGCACATGTTCGTATTTGCTTATGTTTGGTTGGGTAAGTAGATCCAGGTCACCAGTGTCACTCATTTCAAATGCTGACCCTGCGTGTCTATTCATGACAGAGTTCTCCTTAGCACCAAGGCCCCCACAGAATCTCTCTCTCCACTCTGCAGATCTTGTGACTTTCTCCTTCCCACTATGCCCACCACAGACAGTCAGAGGCTGCTTCAAAACCTAGTGTCTCTATACAATGTTTGTCAAGACAATTTAGAACAGAGCATGAACTCTCATGGTGACTTAGAGGGGTGGCTACTTCTTTCCTTCCCTCTCCCTGGGTCCTCACCACCCCTGTTCACTCTTCATTCCACACTAGTAGCCATTTCATTCCTCTCCACTGCTCATATGATTGTCTCCGGGTCCACCACTTCCTCAGCACTTATACTTTGTCAGGATGGTAACTCGTGATGAGCGATGCTCTGATCAGGAGCTGGGAGTAAACTACTTGTCAGATCTCCTGGATGTCACACAGGACTTCCAAGTTCTGGGTTTGATTTCTGCTGAAAGCACTCTTGCTGAGAGCGTGGACTTCAACTGCTGGTGCCAGATTGTTATGTATGTCTGTCTCCCTCTATGATACCATTGGATAGTGTGAGGGCTTCTGTGGGAACCAAAGTGGACCAGGAGGATCTTAGTGCTGGTGTGTCTAATCAGACGTTGAGGTATCAGAATTCACAGCTTCTCAGAGCTTTGCTCCATCTGCTTCCCTGATGCCAGCAGCTCCACTCCTGTCCCCAACATGGAAAAAGGCCTTATTTTTTTCCATGCTTTCCTCTTTACCTCCCTTCACCAACTTGACTGACTAGGTCACAAGGACACAGATTCCAGCAGGGCTCCCATGACATTTCTTCCTGCTCAAGGATCAGCATCAAGAAACTGCCACTAGGCATAAAGAACCACATTTGCCCACCCTGTTCACACAGTCACTGCATGCACTGAGGATCAGAGTAAAAGGTCATGCTTATGCTGCCCTGGATGTGTCCCCTCCTCCCTGCCACCATTACTACCAAGAAAAAGAGCAGGCAGCAAGATTGGTTCTGAAAGATTCTGTAATCATGACAGTATTTGTTTCTCTCTGTGTCTGGCCATAGTTCCCACTGCATTTGTTTAGCATGCCAGCTGTCCTGAGGGGCTGGATGGACAAGGTGCTGACCCGAGGGTTCGCTTATAAAACCACAGAATCCAGTAGAGTCACTTTGCTCAAGGTACTTGCTCTGGGATCCCCACTGCTGTGATGTATAGTACGTGTATGTCAGTGTGTGTGTTTGTGTTTGGATTGTGGCTATATGCACATGTGTGTAAGGTTTATGTGTGAGTGTGTGTACTGAGGCTCAAACTATACTTCTCATTTATTCTATCACCAGTCCGGATGTACACTAGTGTGTGCAGAGTTCCACACAACAGACATACTAGGAAGCATAGGTTATAAAGACCTGGACCTTGTGCTCTAGTGAGGGATACAGACCTGCCCACACTGACTCCATACACCACCAAGAGACCTGGGAGGTGGGTGTCGAGTTGGTTGAGGTGAGACGGGATTGTACCCCATAACAAGAAGCCAAGCCTAGGCTGCATTCAATCTTTTCTCTGGGCTCTGGTCACCTACTTGGTTGGGGAATTGGATGTCTGCCCAATTGAAGGGTCAGGTTTGGAAACATTCTGGTACATGCTCAGTGACAAAGAGCTGTGGGCTTATTACTGAAATAATGTCTTACCAATAGATTATTTTTTTTTATTTAAAAGGCCTCAGAAAATAAGTGTACATCAGGAAAGACTGAAGACTCCAGTTCTTTCTTGGATTGTGAAGTGACCAATCAGTAACCAGATTCCACTCAACCCTCTTGACATCCCTGTGAGGCCTGTGTCTTGGCCCAAGAATATTCACATTCACTGTGGCCACTCCATTGATGCTGTTGACATGTTGTTGTCATCTGCCAGAAACGAGTGTTCATCTATAGCTCTCTCTGGAGAGAACTGACCTCATAAGGATGTTTTCTCCTGGTCATTATAAGCCCTTTGACCTGTAGTATGTATTTCCTGTTCCCAAGTTCATGCACATTTTCTTCTTTCCAGGGTAAGCTGGCAATATCAGTAACCAGAGGTGACCATGTCTGGAATGACATAAAGAACACAGACAATGAGGATCCCCTGGCCTATCTGTGGCCCTTGCCGGTAAGCAGATGACACACAAGTCTGTTGCTGCTGAAACTACTGGATGCCACCACCCTTGGTGTAGAAATGAACCTCTTGTAATCCCAAAAGTCACACCTGTAGGGGAACTCTGATGGCCTAGTAGCAAGAAGCTGTGCTACAATCCCAAAGGTGGTTCAAAGCCATCAGTTCAAATCTCCATGGGAGAAGGATGGGCAATCTCCTCCCATGCAAAAACCCACCAGAGGATCGGCTATTGGGTCGGTTCAATAGAGTATCTCAGTCACATATATTCTGGTGATACTGTTCAGATGGAAGCTAAACTAACCCAGGAAGTCTGACTTCTCTGTGACTTGTAGAGCCTTGGGGTAGCACCTGCCTGAACCCAGGGACACAGGAGAGGAGGCCTGGCTTGCCTTTCTGAACACCTCCCTCCAGACTTCTTCAGGCCAGTCCTCTCCATGATGGAAAGAATTGTGATGTTTTAGGGAAAATGTGGTCACTGAAGGGAGAAGAAAGAGTGCTTCCAATTAAAGGTGCTCCACTGAAGGAAATGATGCCTTCTTTTTTTTTTTTTTTT